CAATTAACTAACGATACAGACAGTTAGAGCATTTTGAATTTGTTTGAAAGAATTTTTTTAGTCCAAAGAAACAGAATGTATTGTCAATTATTTTCATCCGGTACACTTGAAAGTTGAAGGTCGAAAATATGTCACACTAATTAAAGAATATCTCCGTAGTTATACATTTTTAAGTCGTATGATTTACTGTTTGTGAAGAGATAAGAAATTAGAGATGCCTTTTGTGTTCTGTACTTCATTTAAAGGGAAAATAAATGTGCAAAGTCATGAATCCGAAAGTTGTAAGGATTCAATTATTGATTTATTTTCAGTGGAAGCAGCCGTTGTAGGAAGCCTTATAGCTAGGTTTTATTCTTGTTAACAGTTGTCAGTAAGGCGCATCTGCAACTTCAAGGTAACTGATTTCGCGCGTGAGATTCATTTCCGCAGCATCCAGAAGGTCATCGGAGTAGTAGCATCACTGATTGAAACACTGCGTAACGTGCAGTGCACACCCATCAGCCCACATGCTGAACAAGTATTTGTCAGATTACATTTGACTTTCGCATCACAAACTTCTCTGTAACAATAAGACTTCAACATGTGGAACAAATAAAAAAAGTTAGTACCCTGTTTGATTGCTATTAGAGGAATTAGGGATACAAGTTTGTTCCTGTCTAGGACTCGTCAACTGGATGTACTTGCACGGGAAATAAAAGTGGGGAATTGCAGGTACCAATCAACAGTAACTGATACCCACTGCACAAGTGATGTCTCTAGTAGGTAAATCCAGCTGACGAGTGAGTTCCAAATAGGATAAAACGCCCATCCCAGATTCCACTTGGAATCACCAAAATGAATACAATATCATGAATACCCCGCAGTATCAAGGCATCTACATAGGAGCCCACCTGCCAACAGAAAACGAGGCATTCAACCCTGTATATCGATCGGAAATTGCAAGCATCAATAAACAACGACAAAGTTGGGAGTTACTTAGCCCTGAAACAGTTTTTACAGCTTAAGTATTTCAAACTTACCTGGTAGTTCACTCACCATTCACATACACATTCGTGAAGCAGCCAGTGAGGGCTACAAATATTACATGGGAGTACAAACTCAGCTAACCAAAGTAGGGATTCGGACCAGTGACCCATCAATTCAAAGTCAAGCCCTTAAAATGATTAATCACAGCTTTAATCGCAGGTACACATACGGACAGTGGGCGAGGTGGAGAGAAAATGATATTTTGAATGAACAATTCACCATGACGGTATGTTGACTGGATGAATTCCATCTCACCATACTTTTCATTACTGTTGATTATTCTTTGCTGTTTAATGGAAATCCATCATCATTAATAATATATATCGTTTTACACATTTAGGTCCTTTGGTAATACTTAATTTAACGGCAGTAGAATATGGTAATGATGGGCAGTGGCTAGCAGTGTAATCCAGGATACGCACTTGGGACTAGTCAGCTAGATGTACCTGCCTTCCAGTAAGTGATGTTGTTCCCACTGGGGCTTGGACCCTGGAGCGACTGCATCAAACAGCCACAGCGTTATCCACTACACCACCAAGCCACGATAACCACTTCTTGTGCGACGGATATAGGTTCAGTGTTATTGCTTGTATTACACCGTCGACGCTTGGACTGAATTGATCAGTCTCTGTTGGCATATGGGCTCCTATGCGGATGCCTTGATATCGCCTGTCTTTTAACATAGTAATAGTGATAGTATAGTAATGATGGGCAGTGGCTAGCAGTTGGTCCTAGCAACGACGGTGTAATACAAGCAATAACACTAGACATTAGAATAGTTTTTTTGAATAAAATGGTTTTGTTTCATGGTTTTATGTTAACTAGGTACAGTTTAAAAAATCAAGCAAAGCATAAGAGTCTGTTTCAGTTATCGTATTCTTGGGCATTGTTCTGATGCAGTGGCACCTGGTATTTAGTAAAGCTAACCTGATACACTCAGAAAGAAGCACTAGGAACAATGAATTCAAAATCTTAATATCTGAAATTCAAGTATGGTAGGTATAAAGCAAAAATACACTACCCTTTGTGTGTATATGAACTGATGTGCGATGCCTCAATATAGTCGATGATTAGATTTTATTACTTGAGAAGGATAATGACCAGCAGTGGGATCCAAGACTCATGTTCCATTCTATTTGGAAACATCAGCTAGATGCATAAACCCCACCACCACTAAATATCGAAATTATAAATTCCCTGTGGAGAGTCTGTGTACGGAAGTAAAAACTCCCTTAGTTCAGTAATTCAGTACATGATGTGAATAGGAAATCACAAAGATAGCATATCATCTTTCGTGACTTCAAAGACAAGCATCAGGCCTGCGATAATATTTACATTTCAACATTTCTCGTTCTAACCATGTGCATGGCGCTTCACGAAAATCACTTCCAACAAACTACAGACATACATCACAGCAACAGCTTTCTAGGCCAACTGGATACTGAAGACCAGATGGCCAGAAAGAATAAGCAACAAGCAACTCACTCTGGCAACAAACCAACCAAGAACCTATCACCCAGCAAATATGCAGAAGAAATTGGAGATGGATTGGATTGGGCATACACTGAGAAGGCCGACTGGGGACATCACGCGCCAGGCTAGGTGGTTGGCTGGAATTCAAAGGAGAAAAGACGAGTTGGATATCCGAGGTGAGGGTGACATGGAGGAGATGGTGTGAGGAAGAAATAAAAGGTTGTGGGCAGTCGTGGTGCCTGGTTGAAAAGACTGCAGAGAACAGAGTGCAGTGGCGATGTGCTAATGAAGCCCTATGTTCCACCACAAACCCAAGAGAATAATAATAATCATAAAATGTGCCGAGGAAACAAAAGGTAGCTAAACTGCTTATAAACTGGTATACTTCAGAATGTACCGTGTCATTTCCCTATCTACATAATTTTTAAGTTTAACCTTCTTCAGTTTGTCAACTATTTACTATACTAAATAGTCACCTTACTTTATCATAGAGATGTTTTTAACGCTTTGAATTGCTTAGTATCAGTATATTTATTGTGTTGGCTATTAAACTGTTGGAAATTCCGTCGTATGTAACCTGGATGGAAGCAATTCGTAGAAAGCTCTGAAACATCGATTTTGTGCTTCCTGCTACTCTGAAAACTCACTGGAACTTATATTCTGCCGGTGATTCAAACTCACGCCATTCAGTGTTACAGTCAGTGACGCTATCACTGAGCTATCCCAGTTGCTTTTGAACAATGCAAGGGAAAAAGCATATGCAGAACAAAATCAGATAATTTCGTTTCATGGCCTTTCATCCGCCGCAAACGGCCTGCTATTGAAATCAAGTATTAGCAGTGGTATAACACACTTTAAATATGTAGAAGTAAATGAAGATTTGAAATTCAGGATTACCAATAAGGTAGTAAGTCAAGCAGACACAGAATTAGTAGTTACAAATCTTAGTGAAAATTAGTGGCAATTTATATTTAATAAGATAGAAAATTCTGGGCTGCGAAGTGGGGGCCACATCAAATGAAAATCACGTAATCACATAAAAACTGGAAAATCGTTAAGTGATTAATATTCAGTAAGTAATTGATGAAGAGATGATACAATCAAAAGAAAAGAGAAGACTATATACATACACATGCAAAAACATTTATACAGTTACTATAGTAAAGAAAGGTTAATTACAATCTGTTTCTGAGTACATAGGTCAGGTTGAAAATGTTTGATAACGACAACTTCCACAAACCGTAATGAATGTGGTGTTCTTTGTTTATTGATTATCCTGAAGGATCAAGAAACATGTATTTGATGTGCTATTTCCATCAGGTATCTGGTGATTGCTGTCTTAAAGACCCTGTTGCCATTCCGATCCAGATTTCTCGAAATATGCTCATAAAATCGAGTAGACGCTCTACTTTTGGTTTGTTTTATGCACTTGCTTCCTTCCACAAGCACAAGTGAATTGATATACACAGTTGAAGTTGAGGTGAGATGGGTATTTGTCTACTTTTGACTGTGTTATTGAGCATAATGTGTGGTAGACTGAGATCAATCTGGCAGCAGGCAAGCTCCTGTTCAGTGCAGCTTATATTTTCCTGTCTATTCTTTCAGATGTCTCATCACCTTTGAATGCTAGATGAAGGAAAACGGGCTTCTTCTTTTGTTTTCTCAACAAAGTATTTTCCAGGTTTCATGATGAATTCCTTCGGATATCCATTCTCTATAACAGCCTTTTTAATTATCTTGAATTCTTCTTGTTATCTTTTGAGCACAGAATTTTTATTCTGGTGAATAGCTGAGAGGACAGAAACTATTGTAGTGAAGGTACTGATCAATCTGCTTATCTTTCCTGTGGATAGTTTTCTCAACTACAATATCACATCTCTGTCATATACTTAGATCCAAAAGGATTCGTCTACAAACAATGACACAAGTGTGATATATAACTGCGGTGAAGTAACCGCTAGTTGGCGCTGATTCCTGCCAGTTAGATGAGAAGAATCTCTTTGTATTTGTTGACGTTGCAGTGGTTTATGTTATGACCGCCATGTTGTTTACGTATAATACTGTTTGCCGCTTTCACTCTGCATAGTACATCATGAGATGAGTTTTTTAAGTACCTTGTGGGCTAAACAATATTCAAAAGGCCTTAATTGTCGCAGTGTTGTATCTCTGACTCACTTCAAAGTACCTGTTGATTTCTAAAGATTCTTTTTATAGTTTTTGATAGGCTGAACATCAATAACAATAATAATAATAATAGCAATAATAGTGATTAAAGGTTTACTTCTGATAATATTTTAGATGCAATGTAAAGTTGTTATTAGTCAACATTTCCATAAATAATATACTACTCCCAAGTAAACAATTATAGCATCCAAGCAACAAATATCTTTGGAAAATACTGTGTAGGCAAAAGATGTATTGTATGGAACCGATATGAGTTATTTATTGATAGACAGTACTTCTGAAAGCAAGGACATACTTTAGTACAAGTAAGCACCATATTAAAGAAATGTTGAAGACAACTCAATAGATATCTCTGAAGATAATTTATTCCGGAACTTTTGCCAGTCGATGTTGAAATGTGGTATTCTACTAGTAGCAGTGGTAGTAGTGTGAGCATCAGTATCAGTAGTAATGTGAGTAGTGTGAGTAGTAGTAGTAGTAGTAGTAGTAGTAGTAGTAGTAGTAGTAGTAGTAGTAGTAGTAGTAGTAGTAGTAGTAGTAGTAGTAGTAGTAGTAGTAGTAGTAGTAGTAGTAGTAGTAGTAGTAGTAGGAACAACAGCAACAATGATATAATCACGTCCTTCCGGGGAATATTTTTTAGGACTGTCTATTAACAACAATAATGATAATTTATAGTGGGTGGATTGAAGGTGAAATTAACATTTGGACTGCGGCCGAATTCCAACCACCAACCACCAACAATCAACACTCAGTACCACTATTAGTCTGTCAAACCACGCCTATCTCACATGGTCAAAATAATGATCAATCTAGTGCTTTCCCTCTCTAATTCGGTTGCATTTCGATTGGGATGAGAAGTCCTGACTGAGTAACCAGTGTGAATACGATCAAACGGTAGTAACGCGTAGTGAATTCACATGGTAGTCGAGCAAATACCCTCGGTGACTGAAGTGAAATAAAAATCTGGTCAGCAATTGGACCTCGTCACTCAGTTGGTAGAGCATTGGATCGGATGCCTGGTGGTCGCTGGTTCGAATCCGGTAGCTATCCAGATTTCCATCTCACCTTTAATCATCATCCAGTATAAATATTGTAGGTCTGCCTAACCACGGCTATCTCAAGTAGTACAAATGATGAGTAATCATAATCGTTTTATTCTCGAATTTACAGTCGCATATTATTTTTATAGATACGGTTATTACATTTAATGGTGAAAAATCTTTGTTGATGCTGTTTACCATCTCTTTTTCATCTAAGGTGGTGAAAATTCTCAAGCTGAAAGAAAGATTTTACATTGCATACAAATAATACACTTTAAGTAATATGTTGAAGTTTTGTGGTACTTTTATGAATGAATCTATACATAAATTGTTCCAAGTAACAGAATCACATATTTACAATGTGGCTAAGAGAAGGTAAATCCAGAACTTTTTCAAATTAACAAAGTAAAAGCACACAGAACAAACACTGAAGCATGATACGAGGTCTCCTAATTCAGTATACATGTCAGATTAGATTCTAAACAAAAGTGAGGTTTTATAATTGCGTTAAGGTTTCAATTTCAACATCAACCGGAAGTTGTTATTGACACATGAGATAGCACTGATCATGGAACCGGCTTTAGAATCCCCACATAACGATGAGGCATAGATTATACATCAAAAAATTTCAGATATCCTTGCAAAACAAAGAAATACACATTCCAACATCACTAAACACGAATTTCGAGCCATGGAAAGCCTGAGGAAAGACAAGAATATTATGATAACAAAGTAGATACAGGCAATATAACAGTCATCATGAACAGAACAGATAATGAGAAGGAAGCAAGTGAACACTTATCCGAAGAAGCATACTCTTTAATTGATGAAAAGAGTAGATCTGACAAACTGAACACAAATAGAACTTAAACCAAAAATCTGTAGCTCAGTTTGATTCATGCTCAAACCTAAGTCATACATACCTTCAAGATTCTACGGTCTACACAAGATTCACACACTTTCCATTCCACTGAGACCAAGTGTGGACTTCATCAACACACCAACATAAAATTCCTCCAAATATCTGACTTCAATACTTAAACCCCTACGAAAACACTCAGAATACACGATAAAGGATTCACTTGGTTTCAAATCCAAAATGTTTTCACTTATAATTGAGGAAGATGAAAGTATGCTAAGCTATGACATCAGTTAATGACAGCCTAGGCATTATTTCTAACGATGTTGCTATGAGTCCACCTGTTTCCCCCATAGCAGCTAACCTATTTATGAGTAAATTCAAAGAGAGTGTCTTCACTCACTTACTAACGACAAATATTCAGCTGAGATATGTTGATTACACATTCGTAATTTGAAAACGTGACTTATACCAGACAATCTTAGATCAGCTGAACTTTAGATCACCCAGTATCAAGTTAAGCTCAGAAAAAGAAACGGATAAGGGGTAACCACCTTTCCTTGATTGGCTTGTTAAACGCAAAGTAAATTGACATTCAGATATAATCGTTTTCAGGACAGCAATTTATTCGAATCAGTATTTAGATTTCACCTCATCACATCCAATTAGTGCGAAAGTTTCTGCCTACTTCCTTCAGTCTCTTAAAGAGAGCGCGTATTATAGTAAAGGATGAAAACGAAAGAGTTAAGAAATTAAAATATGTGAGCAAGATACTTAAAATGAATAATTATCCGATAAAATTCATCCATAAAGTAAAAAACACCATTATATTAGATCGTAAAACTACTCCCAAATCATGAGGCTCAACAATAGTTATCTGTAACAGATCACAGATATCGGATGAAATTTAGACAGTACTCAACAAATACAATATCAGAATGTTCTACAGAACATCAAACACATAGCACAGACCACCTTAGTTCGTTTGAAGGGCGAGATCTCTGTAGATTCACAATCGAATTTGTTTTATAATATAAAATAATTAGACTGTGATACAATGTATACACTGGGCATACTTCCCATGAAATCAAAATTATAAAAAAATGATCTTGGGGGAGCTTTCACCCGACCCCTTAGAAATCCAGTGGAACTGAAACAACTTGAAAACACATCAACCATAACTGAGCATGCTATAATTTCAGGTCACAAGATCGGTTTTGACAATGTCGGGATTATTCAGAAAGGTGACCTTAGAAATTATAAAGAAACTTTCTCATATAAGTGAAAAACTTGGGCACTGTGGTAGAATGTAGTTCCATATGAGATTTGTTTATTTGATATAAAGCGCACAGTGATACAGTATTATTTAATTGATTACGTTTCGAGCATAAATTATTGCTCATAATCATATCAATGTAATCACACTTCTTTCGATATCTGATTTTATAGTCCTGTCACCTGATCTCTCTTTGTTTTTTTGTTTTTTGATTGGTAGTAAAGTTTTCCATATCTCTGGTATAGGTGTTGCGTCATTCCTATTACATGTGTTGGGTGTGTATTCGATGAACAAAGATTCAGTAATTAATCTCTCTCTCCACCTAGCTATATTAGACTTAAGTACAGTGGTTTTGTCCCATCCTATTGTGTGGTTGTGTGTTAATGAATGTAATGCAATGGCCGAGTGTTTTTCTAGGTTATTGATCTTATTGGGGTCTGCCGTTCTATGTTTAGCTAAATTCCTATGTTCTGTTAATCTAACTGACCCCGACCGGCTAGTTTAACTGACCTATGTATTTGACTTCACAGTCATTACATGGAATTTGGTAGATTATATTATTTTGCTTAATTGGTTCTATCGGATGTTTTAGCCGACAGAGCTTACCTCTAAGTGAGTTTGTTGGTTTAAATGCCACCCTAATTCCAACCTTGTTGAGAATCCCCAGTATGGTTTCTGATGTTCTTTCCTTGTATGGTATCACAATAGAGGTGTTGATTTCCTTTCTACTTATGTTGTCACTATTATTTGTATGGCATGGCATATCGAGGTGGGTGGTGGCCCGTTATACTTAGGTTCTCTGCTCAGTGGTTAACACTTATTCTGCATATGGGCTGATGACTGTGGAACAACTTACTTCATGCTGATTTCGTTTGTTATGGCTAGTAGAGGAATCCAGGACGCGAGTTCCATTCTATTTGCCACTCGTCAGCTGAATGAATCTGCACCCCAGTGAGTGTTGTTCCCACCAAGACTCGAACCTCGTACCCATCGCTTAAGATGCCAAGGAGTTAACCATTACGTCATGGAAGAACAATAGCTGATTCTTGTACAACCGGTGCAGCTACATCCCACTGACGATTCCTAAATTTGACGAAACGAACGTTCTGGATTCCTCTGCTAGCCACAACCAACTGAATTACCATAATGGACATTGGGGCCATATCGAGGCATCCGCATAGGAGCCCATATGTCAACAGAGGTCAAACAGTTGGACCCAATAAAACAATGGAGAATTACAAGTATATGAATTAGTAGTCATAACTTATTTCATGTTTTCTAATCACAACTCCTGACCGAATTTATTTTGTAGTAGGATTATCCATCTAGAAAACTGATTTTTATGCAGCACTTCCATAGATGTTAGATGGTAAAAGGCAATCGGTCACTTGTTCACTAGATATAATATATCTACCAGAAAATATGGAAGCATACTGAGCGGCATTTGAATTTTGTGATTAAAATGAACAATCTTATATACAAAACATACAACTATGTGGGTTTTACCTAAGCAAGTTACAATCCAGTTAACAAAGCATGACAAAATAAGACTACGGAGATGAACAAACTAACATGAAATTGTTCAGGTATGATGATATTTATCAGTAATGTGGTCAAATTTTGTGACTTTCTTTTAAAATCACTTATTCACTGGTTACATTTGATATGTACATTTGATGTAGTCAAAAATTATTCCAATTAAGGATTCATTATGTTGCTAGATATTGAATAGTTGGTGGAGTGAATTTCCGACTGTTGCCGACTTACAGTTATCTGTCTACCTTATGGAGTTAGCTAAATAATTTGATTTTTCTCCTATTTTACTAACTGAAAAGCGGTTCGTTGACAGTTGAAAGATGTGCGATAAACGTCTGTTTGATGTCAAGTCGTATACACATCAGTCCTTCAAAGTAACTACTTCACTAGTCAAATGAAAATTGTTTCTTTCACAGTGCGAGTGAAAACAGTTGAATCTCATATATTGGCATCGTAAAGCCCTACAGTTCTAGGATGAATGAAATGAGAAGGAAAATATGCAGGGTAGTATTCATCATGGACTGACTGTTGAAAACCTTGGAGTACTGGACAGCTTCTCGTCCTAATGTTGTCTCCTCTGTAGTAACCAGTAACTACTTGGCTATGGATGGTACTGAGCACCTTGAGGTTTCTCGGCTACCACGTTAACCATTCTTCTACTAGGTCATTTTGAGTTCAGTATTTCACAGTTTCCGATTACTGTGAATTCGCGATATAGCCTGACTATCCACGAAATTCTTCAGTTGGGATTTAGGGATGCATAAGAGTTACCCGTTTTGTGTCATGATATTTGTCCAGCAAGTCTTTTAGTGAATAAGGACAATATTCACTGCAGAATGCAAGTTGCAGACCGGGTTTTAAAGTTTTTAATTTGCAGACCTTCAGTGTTGGGGTGTCGGGAATGTGTCTGTCTAGGCTGTGTCCCTTTCAGCTTTTGATCAGTGAGGTACGTTTGTATTCGTGTGGAAATTGACATCTGAAGCCTTTTGCACTGAACTCATAGATTTTACCACCGTGTTATCATGTCATATGATGTGGTCCTATTGACCTTTGAATGGTTATCAACATCGACATCTTGCCTTTGGTAATGATTTCAATTTATTTGACCGTATTAGCTTAATTTGAAGATCCCTAGGGATTTGATTGATTTCAAGTCAGTACTCATTACAGAGGTTTGTTATTTCAGGAACCATTGAAAAGGTGAAGTCAGTGGATATGTTTTCGTTAACAATGTGAAACGTGGAACATCAGGTATCAACCAGGAGGCTCAGTGGCAATGTGTTAGTCACAAAATCCTAGTTGCTTAGTCTTACAGTGTTAACTCCTTCATTGGATAATGTAAGAATATTTCGTTGCTCTTTTCAAATTCACAATCTGTGAGTTGTGTATGAATGAATCGTGTCTAAACATATATGAACCAGTAGATCAGCCTCAGTTTGGATGAAAAGTAAACTTGTTAACTTTATTTTGATTAGCAATTGGTTTCACACTAAGAAATAGTCTTGCACATCGATTCCAATTTATACCACATATTTACATCCTACATTGATTAAATGTGTAATAATGAAGTTTTGATCAAAGTGATTGTTCACCATACAACAATGATCATATCTAACTTTCAATTGTGAAGTTCATTAGCATAATTATGGATGACAAATCAAATAAATTTTATATCTAAATCTAGCGAACATTTTAAAATGAAAAAAAAGGGAAGAAAAGGTTTTTCTTTTATTGTACATAATATTATGAAAATAACTATTTGGAAGACTGAAACTTGTATTCAGACATATTGAAGTGTTATCCTAAAATTGTTTTAAAGAAAAAAGATCAGCCTTCCTATTAGTCTACATATACTGAATGATAAATGCTGATTGGTTGCTTGTTATTTGTCTAATAGTGAATTGATATATATATTATGGCGTATAAGTTAATTTCATTCACACTAAGAATAGTCTGATAACAGTTAGTAGTTATTGACTAGACAATCATAACAGTTATGATTAACTTCAAAAAAAAAAAATTGATTATGAATAAAAAAATGGAGATTTTATTTTCACAATTTAGAAGTATGCCCAAAATATGAATAGATGAAATTACTCACAATTAACAACAATAAACTATATGCAAGAAGGATATCACATATCGATTTATTATTAACCAACTCAAAGTCATGAAGGTTTTTATAGTGAATGTACTACCACTGTTGAATTCTGAGTACTATACAAATATAAATTGAATTAATGAACAAAATTCTATTCTTTCAATGAATTCTAATAAATTTATGCTTACTTCTTGTTCTCCGGATAATGTATTGAACACAGGTATCATTTCAGTTCCTGTTTCTCTTATTTCTAATCATTCCACAAAAACTACAACATTGGATAATATCTCAATCAATGTAAAACCTAAATTGAATGATGTTGATTACAATAGTCTATCTTCTATTTGTGATGATACTAATTTAAACAGAAACAATCAGCCAATTTATATTCTTCAACCACAGAATAGATACACGACATTCTATAGGCTATACACAAGTAGATTAGACAAACCAAGGCTGAGACCACATTCAGCACCAAAAAAATCATTATCATGTCAACCATCCCCAAATATTTCACAACGTCATTTACTAAATAATCATCCTAATAGCTTATTAACCAGGTAAGTAATCTTGAAAACACTTTATTCATCTTGTGACTCATGGATAGATACTCTTCAACTGATGCATACAGTCTAAATGTACAGTGATTATTAGGAGATAAGATATTTGAAAATTAGACAATTAGTAATTTTAGCTTGTATTATTATTATTAGTCCCTTGGGTTCCTAATGGAACATAGGGCTTCACTAGCACGTCTCCAGTGAATTCTGTTCTCTGAGATCTTTTGAACCTGGCTCCACGACAGCCCACAACCTCTCATTTCCTCCTCGCACGACCTCCTCCATGTCACCCTCACCACGGACACCCAACTCGTCGCTTCCCATGAGGATTCCATTCGAGCAACTGGCCTGACGCGTGATGTCCCCAGTCGGCCTTCTCAGTGCATGCCCAATCCATCTCCACTTCCTTCCACTGCATATTTGTTGGGTGATAGGTTCTTGCTTTGTTGGTTCGTTGCCAACCACAGTTCCTTGTCGCTTATTCTTCCTGGCAATCCATCTGATCTTCAGTAGCGAGCCAGCTTAGGCAGTTGCTGATGAATGTCTGTAGTTAGTTTATTGGAAATCCCTTTCGTGACGCGCCAAGTCTCTCAACCACCACATAGAAGCACTGACTTGACTGACTTAGTGTTGAAAATCCGCATCTTGTTCCACATGCTGAGTGCAGAAGATCTCCACACTGGTTTCAGGCTGATGAATGCCTGTCTTGCTTTTCCGATTCTGACTTTGACATCCTCGTCTGTGTCTGTGCCGCCTGTAGTTGAAACAGTGCTTCCTAGATATGTGAAGGAGGTTACTTCCTTTAAGTTTCTCCCGTTGATGGTGATTGGAGTTTGTTGTTGTTGTTGTTGTTGTTGTTGGAGTTGTTGGTGCGGTATCTTCATCACTTCTGTCTTCTCTATGTTCACCTGAAGTCCCGTCTTCTCTGCCCTGCCTCTTCTGTCAACTTGTTAGTTTCCACCTGTAGATCTTCAAGTTTGTGTGACATTAGACACAAGTCATCGGCGAAATCATAGTCTTCTAGGTTCTTTTCCGCAGTCCAGTGTATCCCCCTCTTCTCACAGCTCCCCACTGTTTGCTGCATGATCCAGTCCACCACAATCAGGAATATCATGGGGGATAGTACGCGGCAGCCTTGTTTCACTCCTGTCTTCACTTCAAAAGCATCACTGAGCTTCCCATTGTGAATTACTTGGCATGTGGCATCTTCATATAGTTGTTGAATGAGGCGGATAAAGGTTTGTGGTACTCCGTAGTGTTGAAGCAGTTTCCTGCCAAATTACTTCTCGGTCGACACTGTCAAAGGCCTTCTCAAAGTCGATGAAGTTGAGGTAGAGAGGTGATTGCCATTCTATGCTCTGTTCTATGATGATGTATAGTGTAGCGTTGCAATTTGGTCTGCACATGATTTGTACTTCCTGAATCCAGCCGGCCTGTTCCGGTCGTAGTTTTGAATCCAGTGCATCTTTAAGCCTCTCCAGGATGATGCGGCTTAATATTTTACTTGGGGTGGATAGGAGAGTGATTCTGTGCCAGTTCTTGCAAACACTGAGGTCTCCTTTCTTCGGCAGCTTGACAAGGTAACCCTTCTTCCAATCAGTGGCCAGGTACCTTCTCTTCCTTCCACCATTTCTGCAATAGTGGTGTGAGAATTTCAACTTGTACAATAAAATAATTGGTAATCCTTACAATATGTAAGAGCTGATTATAAAGAGATAGGAAACTTTAGAAGGGGAAAATAAATCAATAAATAAATAGTTACGTAATTAAAATTAATGGAAAACAGAATCAAATCACATTCACCAAGAAAGTGAGCAGAGATTAGGTTTAAAGCGTTTTATATTCCAATCACTTCGTTGAAATACAGTAATCAAGACTTTTTCTTCATGTTAATTATATTTAAAACATTTAAGATTCCAACCTGAAAATGCTGTATCTACAGGGTGTCTGGCGAATAGACTGGTTAGAATTCTACTTTTATCCAAGTACAGATTCTTGGGGATATACTTAATGAATTGAATGTATCTCCTTCTCTCAGTGTTTCCAATGTACTTGCTGCCATAAGTGCAAGTGTTGTTTTTATTTTTTCATCTATTTGCTCGGATACTACACCTTCGTGAAATTTATCTTATGTTCCAACAACCAATAAACTTTTAGACTGTAAGCAGCTGGAAAGTATTCGTGAGAAAAGATGATTATGTTATTTTATTGTGCAAATTTCATCCACAGTCCTTTATCCAAATTTATCACGGGGTCTGAATGTATGAAAATATATTTTAGTTGGATAATAACCATTTTAAATGTATCGGAGTAAAACTTCGGCACTGTGGTAGGTTATAATTCCATTTTAGTCTGTTTATTAGATATGTCACATGGTGATGGAACAGTATCATTTACTGGATAACCACATTTCGGACACAATTTATTGTCCATATTTATATCACGCAACTCAATAACTTTAACACAGAGTTGATATAGTCCTAATTTTCTCTCTCCCTCTATGTTGGGGACAGGTGCAGAGTTATTTCTATCGCTTGTATTTGATGTTGATTCGATAAACAGAAATTTGGTTATCAATCTCTTCCTACATGCACCCAACTAAGTTAGCTTTTAACGCTATTGCTTTATCCTACCCTACTGTGTGATTGTGTGTAATTGCATGTAGAGCCATAGCCGAGCTTTTTCGTAAATTTCTTATCTTATCAAGATGTACTAATCTTGACTAAACTAAGGTTTTCTGCTCTGTTATTTTAATGGACCCTTATCGACTACTTTCACCTATGTATTTGACCTCGTAATTATTGCAAGGGATCTGGCGAACCAGATTATTTTGGTTCATTACATCAATAGGATCTTTTAACATACAAAACTTGTTTCTAAAGAAGTTTCTTGGTTTAAATACTACTCTAATCTCAGCCTTATTGAGGATTCTTAGTAATGCTTTTGAGGTGCCGTCCTTGTATGGTAACACAGCAGAGGCTTTCAGTTCTCTGACAAGCATGTCAACATGCAATGAACCAAAATAATCTGGTTTGCCAGATCTCTTGCAATCACTGCTAGGTCAAATACATAGGTGATGAAAGTAGTCGAACAGGGTCGATTAGAATAACAGAACACAAAAACTTACCTAAGTCAAGATTAGTAGATCCTGATAAGATAAGAAATTTAGAAAAAGGTCCAGATTGCATACAATTGCACATAATCACACAACGGGGGAGGATAGAGCGACAGCGTTAAAAACTGATTTAGTGGGGTGTAGGGAGAGATTGATAACCGAATCTGTGTTTATCGAATCAACACCAAATACATGCGATAAAAATGATTCTGCACCTGTCGCAGATATATGGAAAACTCTACTTCCCTTGTTATCACAGAGAAGGAGAGAAAATAAACTGTGTTAAAGCTGTTGAATTACGTGATATGATACTGTTCCATCACTTTGTGATATTTCTAATAAACGGGGTAAAACGGAATTACATTTTGAAGATGGTTGTTGACTGATCTACATCAAACACGCACACACACACGCACACAGAATTGTTATAGCTAGAGAAAGTGAAAGTAGAATATTTGAGAATTCATTGATCCTCTTACGGTAGGAGTGCCGATGATGTGTGTTTCGCTCAACCATAAATGTTACCCATTGGAAAACATGGTGTTTAAGTAGAACAGCAGGAAAAAGTATTTCATTTCACTATGTTTATTCAAACTAGCGCATTATAGCTTGAATACTACGCAAAACTTGAAGAAACATAGGAAACCAGTGTACTTGACAGATACGACTTTTTTTCGATACTGTTAACCGTATAACCTCTTAATTCTAAACTTGAAAAAAATGTAGTACAATGAAGTTACTTGTTCGATTCAAAGTTGGCCGGAACATTTACAAAAGAGCCGACTAGACTAGATGTCTTAATCTACAAATCAAACATGTCTGTCCTTGCTTCAATAAACATATTTACAGCTGCTTCCCTTAAAATGTAATGGCGGTTTATGTGTATTCCTCCACTTCAAGGTTTTATTCATCAGACAGATATACTAGCTAAAGAACTGTAGTAAACATCAGAGGACTAGACAAGTATCCTTTCCCAGTACAGGACTTTGCACCAGTAAGCACATACCCACGAAGTGAGGTGATATTTTACCACGAAGCCATTGGGTCAGAATGTCATAGTCAACATTCGCCTGTGTCATTTCACGATATATAGTGTAGCCATCATAAAAAACCATTGGTAAGACCTAAACGCCCTGGAGCAGGAACGCCATTGCTGACTCGTGATGAATCACATGGTAGGACGAAGCGTCTGTCCATTGCTCACTGGTTTCTCAATGTTCCAGCTACCGATGTAAGTCAGTGATCAATGCAACTTTGAGAAGAGTGAAATGTTTGCTTAATCATTGCCATTCATTGAAACGAATGATAGTTTAGACGTTGGGCTGAGAGACTTCAGTGGCCACACCAGTTAGTCAAGAAGTTGTGTTCCTTATCATTGCAATGGCTACTGATGAAAACTTCATCATTCAACATTATTTTCATCATCAAATTAACGTATGTGCAGGGCATATCTCTGATTTTTATCGATTAACCCGGTGAAAATAGAGAATTCCCATTTTCGGTTATTTCGTTTAATATCCAAGGTAAATGAACCTTTTATAGTTCGAGTGATTTGTTATCTTTGTGGTAACGGTTGCCAGAGATAAAAATAGCGTATTTTATTTTACTGTCTTAAAGAGATCTAAATACCGTTTTCCTTCAAGTTGCTGCACCAATGAGCCAAACCTTTGTTTGATTGAGTAAATGATGGTGAGTCACACCGAATGTGTAAAGGCTAATGATATTAACTGACTGCCTAAACCTCGGCATGTGGTGTGTAGTTCGAACCCGCGGCCTTTCAACAGCCTTACCCAGTGGACTCCAGTTCCACCACATTAGTTGGCTGACTTTGAAGCTGGAGATCAGGAGTTTGAACACTGCACCATCTACTAAGGCTTGAGAAGAT